CCACTTTGGCTATGGGGGTGTGTCAGAATGTTATCTTTGTCTAGCCTGCAGTGGGGTACTCAATAGTGAGTACAGCCCAACTTAGGGTTTGCTATATGTACTGAACTGCTTGCTAGTCCAAACTCTCTTTCTCATTTCTAACTTTCCATTCCTGTTTCTTAACAAGCAGTAGCAGCAGTAGCAGCAGTAGTAGCAGTAGCAGTAGTAGCAGCAGTAGCAGCAGTAGCAGTGGTGGCAGTAGAAGAAGTGCAAGCAGAAGGGCAGCGCGGCTCAGCAGTGCGGCGCGGCTCGGCAGGGCGGCGCGGCTCGGTGGGGCGGCGCGGCTCGGCTGGGCGGCGCGGCTCGGCAGGGCGGCGCGGCTCAGTTCCTGGCGGCGCGGCGCGGCAGCAGGCGGCGCGGCGCGGCATGGCAGCGCGGGTGCTTACCAGGGGCGGGTGCAGGGCAGGGCCGCAGCTGGCGGTTTAGGTCAGGGCCGCGACCGGGGCGGCAGCAGGGCAGGGCCGCGACAGGGGCGGCAGTAGGGCAGGGCCGCGACAGGGCGGCTGCAGGGCAGAGGCCGCGACGGGCGGCGAAGGCAGGGCCGCGACTGGGGCGGCAGCAGGGCAGGGCCACGACAGGGGGGCGGCTGCAGGGCAGGGGCCGCGAAGGGCGGCGAAGGCAGGGCCGCGACTGGGGCGGCAGCAGGGCAGGGCCGCGACAGGGGGTGGCTGCAGGGCAGGGCTGCGACTGGGGCGGCAGCAGGGCAGAGGTCGCGACAGGGCGGCTGCAGGGCAGAGGCCGCGACGGGCGGCGAATGGGCCGACGACGGGCGGCGACGGGCCGACGACGAGCGGCAAAGGGGCCGGGACGGGCCGGCGACGGGCTGGGACGGGCCGAGACGGGCCGGGACGGGCCAGCGACGGGCAGAACGGGGCCGCAGTGGGCGGCTAAGGCAGGGCCGCGACACGTGGCGACGGGCCAGCGACGGGCAGCTACGGGCCGGGACAGGCCGGCTGAGGCAGGGCCGCGACAGGCCAGCTAGGGAAGGGCGCGCGACGGCGCAGGTAAGGCAGGCGCGAGGCGCGCTTCGGGCAGGGCAGGAAAAAAAAATGTTCGTGGTGGGCCCTAAAAAAACGTTCCCACGAGGGAACCTGCTCTGATACCATGTTAGAATATTGACCGAATGAATGAATGAACTAGAAAGCATGTGGGTACAAGTAGGAAACCTAAAAGTGTTGTACCCTATATGAACTACCCCACTACAGCCTAGATAGACTATAGTATATAAGTTTGACATGGGCTGTGCGGTAGTCTCGTGCCCGAGAAGGCGGTGGAATGGGACCCTACATCTAAGCATTGGCTTCCGTGTGTCAGGGGGATGTGCGCATGGATGTGTGGGGCCCAAGTGCATGGGGAGGGCTGCAAAAGTGGCCACCAACTTGCGCCTGGCCAGTGCGGTACTATCAACGTAAGTGATGCATGGGTGCGTTGTGCATGGTGTAGGAAAGCTGGGACCAGTTGTGGTGGGGGAAAAGCGAAGTTGTTTTCGGATGTCCATGCGATCGAGTACGCGTCAACTGCGATGGCTTCCGGGTGGGGAATCTTTGTGCGACGGCGTTTTCAATGCGTAATCATCGTGGTCGACCATTTTTGAAAGCTCGTCGGCGTGTGAATTGAGCTCGCGCGGAATCCATTCGATGGTCAAGCGCGTGCCGAGCTCCATGCATGTACGGATGATGCTCTTGCAGGCCGTTGTGAGGTCGGGGCTACGAGAGTTGCCTTTGCGAAGGATGAAGAATACGCCCTGGTTGTCCACATGCACGAGAACGTGTTTCTGCTTGATCTTGTCGGCGAACGTTTGGAGCGCCCAAATGACGCCTTCGATCTCCGGCCGCGTGCTAGACGTTGCTCGTAGCGGCTCTGACATGGTTGTGCTAACTTCTTCAAGGCCACCAGGGAATGTGGTCAGAGTGGCACCCCAACCGTGAGAGCTGGCATCCACATGGATTACTGCATCGTAGCTGTTCCGGACGTGAAAAGGTGCACCATTGAACCGGTCAAACTCCTCAAGCCAAAAGTGTAGCTCCGCTGTTGCGGATGGGGGAATGACCACGCTGCTTTTCCATGACGGTGCATCGTTGATCACTTGTAACATGGCGTGGCTGAATGCACGAGCGGTCGCGCCGAGTGCGACACCCATTGATGCGATCATGCCTGTGATTCTGGCCAAGTGGGTAATCTTTTGGCGGATTAGTGTTACACTGATATGTCAGTGTAACGATTTAGGCCACACTGATGCTCTGGGGTAATATTTTCCTTAGCGAAGATTACCCTGAAGTGAAGAGCGTATAGAGAGCTCCCCCCCCCCCCCCCCCTCCCCACGCCACCCCTTCATGAAACTCGATTTATCGAGACGAATTTTCCTGGAAATTTTGTCCCGATACACCCAATTTCGTAATGATGCACTACAACGCCAGCATGTGAGTACTGACAACCAGGGTCCTCGCTAGGATTCATGGTGCCGCCTGATAGGGGTGCTATACAATCACCCTAGTGGCAGGGCCTATTTTATCAGTGTAATTCACACTGCTATACTGATTATAAGGGTGAAATTTAGGGCCTGCACTGATATGTTTGGGTATTTTTTTGGTGAATTAGTGTTACACTGATATGTCAGTGTAACGATTTAGGCCACACTGATGCTCTGGGGTAATATTTCCCTTAGCGAAGATTACCCTGAAGTGAAGAGCGTATAGAGAGCCCCCCCCAGGCCACCCCTTCATGAAACTCGACTTATCGATACGAAGTTTCCTAGAAATTTCGTCCCGATACACCCAATTTCGTAATGATGCACTACAACACCAGCACGTGAGTACTGACAACCAGAGTCCTCGCTAGGATTCAAAGGTGCCGCCTGATCCATCAGCTTTTTAGTTTTTTCCATTCTGGTGCGTCCGTTTTTTTTTTTACCAATGCCTGTTTGACCAATCAAAGTAGAATAACTCGTTTCTTGTTACAACAAGTGGGACCAACAAGTAGATCCAGTCTTGACCTGCCACGTCAAATTCGACTTGTCAGTGCATTTTCAACCTATCACAGTAGAGAGCATGCATATTCGACCTATCACAGTAGAGAAATAGGCAAATTCGATCGATCACGCCAGAGATTCGTCTGTCACAGCATGTTTCAGTTTCAGATGGAACACACAACTGGCTACAGTACAATCAGGGTAAAAAAAAACCTACACTGATGCTTCTAGGTAATTTTTTTAAGTTACACTGATCCATCAATGTAACCAAAAAGGACACACTGCTCAAAAGGGTTTTGAAAATGGCTACACTGCTAATCATGAGTAGCCAAAATCCAAATATAGGCCCTGCCTAGTGGATAATAAATGAAACTGGCTGTTCTAATGGAGAAAAATGTATCCAGTGCATATCTACTTACCAAATTATGCATTTGTCATTATGCAAGCACATATATATGCATCAATATTTTAAATATTTAACTGATATTTGTTTCATACATTTCTTTATTGAGCCAGAGAACATATTTCAGTTTTGTAGCTATGGTATAAAGTTGGCACTAATATCAATTTAGGATTAGGTGAATCACTAGTTCCATAACCTAGTCGTGTTACATGCTTATGAGTGCCGTTAGCGAGGAGGGTGTCTATTGCTCAAAAATTTCCCCGCGATGTCAAGAGTCGATGTCATTTCGCGTCCCCGCGATGTCAAGAGTCGATGTCTTTTCGCGTCCCCGCAATGTCAAGAGTCAATGTCATTTTGCGCCACTCGGTGTGGCACCAGCACCACAGCCGAGGCGCCTTTCATGTGATTTGCTGTGTGGTGTGGTGTGGCATGCAGGCCTGTCGAAGTCCCTGGGACCAAAACTTTGAGTCCTGAGCTGTTCGAATTCTTGCCCTGATTTTCACGGGCGTAGGCCAAATTCAAAACTGGAAATCAGCGCTTCTTAGGAAAGTGTACTTTGGCCCTAATGTAACACAGGAGGATTTTCACCTCTTACTTAGCCGGAAAAGGTACACACAAACTACTCATCTACTCACATACAGCCTCTACATCGTCCGCAAAAACACCGTCGGCAAAAATATCGGGTAGTGGGGGGTGGGGGAGGGGAGGGGATGGCGGCGGGAATTCGGGTGGGGGGGGGGGGGGTCCTTCAAAAAAGAAACCAAAACTTTGCTTCAGGGGAAGGCCGAAACGAGGCCCTTAACTGTCACGGGTGCCATGCCTATCTAACACTTTATATGTTCGAGCTGCCCGAAACGTAGGCCGGAATGTTCAGGGCATTAAGGGCAAATGCCCTTGCTTCTACAGCCCTGGTGACATGGTGGTGTGCCGTACTTGCTGTTCTATTCTGCGATGGATGTGATGAGTGCGCGGCAGTGATGCCCACTTCCTGGCATTGCGCTGCACTCCTCACACTCGCATCACCAGCAGGCCCTACTCTGATGCCTTTGCCTCAGACAACTCTCTCCCTATCTGCTGATATCCTTTCCTCACCACAGCAACAAGCAGCTTTTCTCCGCCTCTTAGTTGCGCCATATATTCCTGGACCTTCGTATTTTTGCGCAGGGTATTCTAGCAGTGACGAATAGATCGTGAGTCCGTGCTTGCGACGAAGTTTAGATAGCATACCACGTAGCGCAGATACCTTGTATCCGACGATGAGCAGCTTTGCGACGATCAGTTCGCAGCCCAATCCTCCCTAAAGTCGCAGCCTTAGGTAATTGTCGGGAGACGGTCGTTCTGTCTAGAACCTTCTGTAACTTCTACCGCATGATTGGTGTCGCGCATCGTACGCCATGGTATTTCGCCCTTGTAATTCCCAAAACACCCCTTTAGTGCTGGTCGCTGTGCGCATCAGATTCGCGCCGACCATTGGCGGATTCGTCTTCTTCGCGATCCCCATTCGCGCCCTTCACGATTCCCGTTTCTCAATCGTTTTGTTCCGTCCCTCCCCGGCCGTGACCTTCCCTCCTCGCGCGTGGCAGCACGGAGATGGTGGATCGCTGCGCACACGGCCACGGCAGCAGCCCTCACGTCACGCCATCACCCACTCCCCCCCCTCCAATCAGTCACTCCACCATACATCCTCTCCCCCTTCCTCCATCCGTGTCTGATTCATCCGCGGAATTAATCCCCCCACATGCTTCTGCCGTTACCGCGGCCCGCGGGGCGGAGAGAGGGGGGGAAGGTTGGAGGGTGCGCGAGAGCGACGCGAACATGGCGACGGGGTGTGAAGGGGGAGGGAAATATGATGGGGAGGAAAAATCTGGTGGAAGCGACGGGAAGGCGGCTGGCGGGACGGGCAAAGGGGAGGGCGAGGCGGGCGCGAACGCGTCACAGGCGGCAGACCAAGTGCGCGCATACAGGCGACACCTGGAGCAAATGCAAGAGAACGAGAAGCTGCTCTACGCCGAGGTAACGCGCTCATCTCCGCGCCCGCTCTCCTCGCCCCTGCGCGCTCCAGCTCCCACGTGCCCTTTAGCCCGCCTTACCCCACTCTCTCCCCGTCTCAGTATCCTCCCACGTGCCATTCCCTGCTTCCAATTCTCTTTCCCCGCAGATTGACGAGTTGCGCGCGGCTCTTAGCGCGGAAAGGGAGGTGGCGCGCGCGACGGAGCGAGTGGCGGAGGCGGAATGCTGGCGGAGGTTGGAAGTGGAGCGGGGGCGCGCGGCTTTGGCGCGGGAGGTAGAGCGGCTGCAGGAAGAGTTAGCAGATGCGCTTGAACAGGCGGAATGCGCGGGGGAAGTAGACGGCGACGCGCGAGAAGGCGGACGGGCGGAGCGGGTGAGCGAGGCGGAGCGGCAGGCGCGGGAGGAGGTAGCGGAGTTGGAGGAGCAGATCAAGCAGGTGTGCGAGTCGGCGGCGCAGCGCGAGCAGCAGTTCCGCGGGCTGCTGAGCGACATGGAGGAGGAGCTGAGCGCGGCGCAGGCCATGGCGATGGTCGCCATGGAGCGCGAGGAGCGCGCGAACGAGGCGCTGCGGACGCTGCGGCAGGTGAACGACCAGCTCATGCAGCGCCTGCTGCAGCAGGGCAAGGTGCTCCGCGCCGCCCGGGGGCCCGCGGAGCACGCCCAGCGGAACAGTGATGGGGAGGGGGGGAGTGAGGCGGACGGCGGTGGCGGGGTGACGCGGGACGAGCACGAGCGGGGCAAGGACGATGGGGCGGCAAGTGCGGAGGGAGGTGGCGAGAAAGGGTCCGGTACAGAGGGCTGCGGGGAGGGTGAGGCGGAAGCGACGTTGGAAGGACGGGATGTGAAGAGTGAGGAGAGCGCGGTAAGAGAAGTCGAGCCGGAGGTCGTTGCCGGCCCGACGCCGTGCGCGGAGGGGCTTGCGGACACGCCGCCGCTGCACTTGTGCGCCTCCCCGCCGATGCTGCGCGGGAAGGAAGCGGCGGAGGGCCAGGGGAAGTCTCGCGCGAGCAGCTACGAGACGAGCAGTGCGGGCAGCAGCCGCAGCGGGGGCAGCATGACGGGGCTGTGCAGCGGATGCCGCCAGAAGATGATCCGCGCGCGAGTGGGCGCGGCGGGGAGAAGCAGCACGCCCAGCAGCACGAGCAGCGGCAGCCGCGCGTCTACTGGCGAAAGCAGCCCCAGCCGGCGACAGGCGGAGCAAGGGGGGAACGCAATCGCAGAGTGGCGCGAGCGGGACAGCGACGCGCAGCCGCGGCATCGGGGGGTGGCGGACGGGGAGCGCGAGGCGGGGTCGGACGACGAGACGGCGTCGGAGTTCTCGTTCCACTTCCGCGGCGCGCTCTCCGACTCGGGCGAGCTCGCGGGGCTGTACGGGCCCACCGTGGTGGGGTGCCGCCCGCGCGCACGCGCGTGGGGCAGCGGAGACAGGTTGCGGGGCGGGGCTGGGGGATCGAGGGCGGGCGCAGGGGACAGGCGGAGACGGCATGTCATCCGCGAGAGGGAGGGGGAGGGAGAGGAGAGCCTGAGCTCCGTGAGCGGGGGAGGCGACGATGCGTACACACGTGAGACATGGTGGGGGCTGCTGGGCTGCGCGGGAAGGCAGGCGGAGGAAGAGCGGGGCGAGGGTGGCATGCGCGTGCGCGGGAGGGGGGAGCGGAGCCCGGCGTGGATAGCTGCGGAGCTGGGGAATCTGGTAGGGGAAGCGGAGCGGGTGTGGGAGTGGGCGGAGGAGAAGGAGTGCGTGGAGCAGGGCATGGTGCAGCTGTGCGCGGGGCTGAAGCTGCTGCTGCTCAAACTGCTCCACGGCGCGCATGCGCGCGCGCTCCCGCGCACAAGCAAGCGCAAGCGGAGCGGCGACGCGGAGGGGCAGGGCGGGGGGGAGACGAGCGACGAGGATGAGGAGCTGCTGGCGCTGCTGGGCGCGGGGGATGCCGTCGCGGAGGACGAGCAGGGGGAGGGGGAGGGGGAGGGGGAGGGGGAGGGGGAGGGGGAGGGGGAGGGGGAGGAGGAGGGGGAGTTGGAGGGGGAGGATGACGGGGAAGATGAGGGCGAGAGGGTAGCGCGTGAACGCGGTGGGGAGGGCGGTGGGCAGAGAATTCAGTGGTTGTGCTTGGAGGAGAGGGGCGCGGACAGCAGGTGGGTGCGAGTGAGCAGGGGCGAGGGGGGGCACGCTGGGAGGCACGCTGGTGGCGGGGGCAGAAGCGAAGGCGACGCATGTGGCGGGCAGCATGGGGGCTTGCTGGAGGGGTGCTGCGGCAGTGCAGGCGAGGATGGTTGGCAGGGAGACGACGTGGTGCATGCCGAGGGTCGTGAGGGGCATGAGGGGTGTGAGGGGCGTGACGGGTATGTGGCGCATGAGACGAGCACGGGCGGAGGCAGTGAGGGGGGGGAGCATGACGTGCAGCAAGGGGGCAGCAGCGCAGCGCAGAGCGGCGGCAGCAGTGGTAGTGGGGAGCACGGGGAGGAGGGGGAGAGAGGCAGTGAGGGCGGGGAGAGCATGGATAGTGACATGGACGGGGAGAGGGGGTCGTGGTGCAGCAGGCAGGGGGAGAGCCTGGATGGCATGATCGCCACCAACTCACGCGACAGGGATGATGATGATGATGACGTCACCTCCACGGTCGATTCGGGCAGGCACGGGGGGAAGGAGGGCGAGGCCAGCGCTGGGCAGGTGGAGGGATCCGAGATGGATGGTGAGGGGGTGGAGAGGTCCCAGGCGGTAGAGCAGACGGGGGAGGCGACGAGGCTTATCCCCACAGGCGGGTCACATGGTGATGCCGCAACTGCTGATGCAGCCATGAATGCACCTCCGGTCAGTGGCACGAGCAGGAACGGCAGCAGGAGCGAGAGTGGGCAGGACAGTGGTGCCCTTGATGGGGAAGACGATGAGGGTGGGGCATGTGAGAGCGAGCATGTGCAGGGAGGCAGTGGCGCCGAGGCGGGGGGCAGCAGGCGCAAGCAGCTGAGCGTGCTGCTGCCTCTCCCTCGCCCCGCGCTGCACCCCCTGTGTGCGTCCCCTGTGGGCGTGTCCAGAAGCCCCTCCAAGCTCGGCAAGTGGGGCGTGGGCGGCGTGTGGAAGGGCGTTGCCGCGGCCGGAGCAGCAGTGGGTGGGGCAGGAGCAGGGGAAGGGCAGTGCGGGGCGGCGGGGGTGGAGGTGGAAAAGGAACTAGAGTGGTGCCGGGCGTCCCTGCAGGCGGTGACTGAAGCCGTGTACGTGCACATGGCCGCCGTGCTGGAGCAGAGCACACGCCCCACACTCAGTGACGGGTGTAAAGAGAACAGGGGCGGCATGGAAGGGGGCATGGACGCGGAGATGGTGGAGGGGGTGGTGGAGCGGTCGCACGGGCAGGTAAGGGAGGCGGAGATGCTGCTGGGGAAGGCGCAGCGCACGCTGCAGCGACTCGCTGCCGTGCAGGGCAAGGGCAGGGCGCTGTGCCGGCGCATGAGCAGCAAGCAGCGCGTGCTGGTGGAGCTGCAGCGCTGCCTCGTGCAGGCGCAGGGGGGACAGACGGAGCAAGGGGGGGTGATGGTGGTGGGCGAGAAGCAGGAGCCCCATGTGCGCTGCAACTTGTTCTGGCGCCGCTGATGGCGCTCATGTCATGTGGACTCCACTGAAACTCATCAGTACACTGCCGTGTGCTCAGCTAGGTACCTTAGTGAGGGGCGGACTCTCTCTCTCCTAACCACTTACCGACTAATCATGTTACCACCTAAGCGTATAACTTCCTGTTGCAATAGAAGCAACTTGTTATATTATCACTCATATAACTACGGTAGTATATATATGAATGAAGCCTCACTTCATAATTTTACTACATCTCCAGTGGGGGGGTGTTCAAGGCAGCAAAAGAACGAATTTCTGTCTTCTTTTCCATGCAGCCTGGAATGAAGGCGGAAACCAACCACACCGCCTTCACTGCCACAAGCAAAGAACTCTATTCTCGCTGTTGATGGCTGTCGATATGTGTAGTGCTCCTACATGATTTGACCTGGGCGGTTCTCCAGGACAGTTGAGAAGGCTGTTTGCAACTCCTGTTTGATAGCATTTCCACACTGAACCGGGTTGGTCTCTTTTTTTGGACGTTACAACAAAGTACACATCCTTCTGTTAACTGGCGGTGGCATGGAACGGAACGAAATGGCAGGAGCTGGAGAACCCACCCATCCACTAGTACTACGGAACGGAACGGTACCGTACGTGATCTCTGTCGCCCGCCGACCTGAGGCTCGTTCATCATTCCTCCTCCCCCGCGTGCGACCGTGACCTGGACAGCCTTTTGGCTTTCGTCCTCCTCTTCATCTTTGCCTTGGACTTTGTCTTCATCTTGCGGTTGCTCACTCGGATGGAGTCCGCATCTTGCTCCTCCCCTTCCTCCCTGCTCTCTGCACTGCTTGCTTCCTCATCCGCACCACCTTGCTCCTCCTCTGGCTCCGCTCTGTTTCCTGAGTCACCTCTGCTCGTGCCACCACTCGTCCTGCCACTATGCGCACCTGCATCTGCGTCTGCATGTGCATGAGTGTGTGCAGCATCGCGGCCATTCTCCTCCGCTGGAGCATTCTCCTCCTGGTCTTGCTCCCCCTCACCATCACTGTGCCCTGACGCCCCTTCCTCCCTGCCTCTCTCCACCTCCTCCGCCTCACCACCCTTATCATCTCCCCCCGTTTCTTCTTTTCCCTCATCGCCCTCCTCCACCACCTCCCCACCCTTCCCTGCACCATCTCTCTCCACTCCTGCTCCCCCCTCACTCTCCTCCTTTCTCTTCTCCCCACCCTCACCACCCTCACCACCCTCACCACCCTCACCACCCTCCCCAACCTCACCACCCTCGCCCCCTTCACCCCCTTCGCCCTCCCCATCCCTGCCCTCCCCATTGCGCGCCAGGTCTGCACCCATGCTCTCCGCCCCGTCCACAGCACCCTTATCGCCCACCCCCCCCTCCGCACGTGTCCCCCCAGCACCATCCGCATCGCCATGCCCTTCCCCTTCCCCTTCCCCGTCCCTGCTGTTTACCCGTCCCACCGGATTGCCCCCCGCCCTCGTCCCCTCGAACCCCATGTGTGCCTGCTCGCGTGGCCCCTGCGGCCCCCCACCATCGTGAGCACCATCTGATGCACCGCCCACAGTGCTGCTCTCCTCCCCACCACCACCGCCCTTCCCAGCAGCAGCCGCGCCCTCCACCACGGACCTCAGACGCTCTACCTCGGGGTCTGGCGGACACTCGGGGAGGGGAGGTGGAGGATGGGGCGGAAAGTGGAAGGGCGGAGGGGTGGAGGGGAGGCACGCAGTGGCGGGGACATGGGAAAAAAAAAAAGGCGGAAGAAGGAAGTGGGGCGAACCGAAGGAGGGGAGAGGAGGGCGGTAGGCGCGGGAGTTGGAGGTTGGGGAACAAGGGACGGCAAAGGAAACACGGGACCAGTGAAATGGATGCTGGGAGGCTAGTGGGTGAGCACAGTGGGTGTGCTACTGCGATCATGTAACGGCAATTTACTGGAAACCCCACTCCGCCGCATGCCGTGCATCCTGCCGCGCGCAACCACGGGCGCAGCTGGCGCGATCCTTGCATTAACACCAGCGGGGCCCGCGCAGACTGTCATGCGCCATGCCCCTATGTCGCGCGCGCCATTCGCTGCTCGCGCTCCGCCTCCGCCGCTAATCCCTCTCCCGCTGCAACCATTTCTCGCGGCGCGCCTTACCGACTTCCGGTGAAATGGGCGCGTCGGGGCCGTTGTCGGTGGCGGCGAGGCGCCAGTAGATGGGCGGCCCGAGGAAGTACGCCAGTAGCACCACGGCCGCCACCACCACCACTCGCAGCGCGTTGCGCGGCAGCGTGGAGTGCGGCGTGGCGTGCATGGCGGCGACACGAGCGACGCGAGCAGAGGAATGAGGGACGTGGAGGGCGGCGAGAGTGAATGGTAGAGCGAGGTGGGCAGGCAGTGGGTGATACGGTGGGGGGGATGCTGGCTTGAATGGTGCAGCAGCAGCACCTTTCGAGGCTGACGGAGTGGTTGGTTGACGAGTTCAAGATTTCCAATATGTACAGGGAAAAACCGGGTTACGTATAACTTTACCAAAAATAGGCCACTACTTTGTGTCCTTCACCAAGCGTTTGAAAATCCAGCCTTTTGTCACACAAAGCATGATCTCTTCAAGCTGTCAACTGCATCCTAAGGAACAGCACCCAACAGCAACATTCAATCCTACTTGCTCAACTTCCACCCAAAGCTCTCTCCACTCAACAGGCAGGAGAGCGGCGTGCGGGCACTTAATTGGGGAGCTCGCCCGAGTCAGCAATGACGCACGCGGCCTTGGGCCGGTCCATGCGGTCCGTCTGCTGGCCCTCTATGGTGCGCACCACGTCCAACCCCTCCAACACCTGCCCAAACACCACGTGCTTGTTGTCCAGCCATGGCGTCTGCTCATGCATAACAAATACATAACGAGCAAAAAGCAGTGCACACACATGGTAAGCACACGCACATGCACACACGCAGGGGTGCGCGCACATGGGAGCAAGCAGCAAGCAAACGGACATCACGGAGTGGGAAAGAGAAAGTCAGCGGAGGAGCACACCAGATGAGCCCCTGTCCAGGTGAGGGCAGGGCGGGAGCGCAGCAGGCGGAGCAGGCAGCACAGCACACTCAGCCATGTCATACATACATGCAGCGACACTTGCTCATCATGCTGTGTGCCGTGCAGCTGTGAGCATGTGGTGCAGCATGCAGAGGTGGGCAGCACAACAGCCCACCATCCACGTCCGCACCGCTACTGCATCACAATTGAGTCTTCCTGACTGCATTCCATGCCCTTTCCTAAACCCTCGCGTTAATCTCCCTCCCCCCAGACTGAACCAGCATTCCCGCCAATACCAGAACCGTGCAGTGTGGTAGAGCGAGCAGCAGGCGCGCAGCAGCGCATGGGGCGGGCTCACCTTGACGGTGCAGATGAAGAACTGGCTGCCGTTCGTGTTGGGGCCCGCGTTCGCCATGCTCAGGATACCGGGGCCCGTGTGCTTCACTGCGCACACGCACAGCAGAGGGGGGATATATCACCGTACGGGCAGTAGTGAGTGCAGGGAAACAGATGGGTTCAACTTCAACACATCACACCAACCAGCACTAACACCAACGCGTGTGTGAGCAGATCATCTCCCCTCAACCCCCCTCCACTCCCCACCCCCCCCTTCCCTCCCCACTCCCCCCCCCCCCCCCTTCCCTCCCCCTTCCCCCAATTCACTTGCAAGCCCAAAGCCAGAGCGCACAGCCGTTGCGCGACCCCGCCCATGTGGTGCGTACATTGGAAGTTCTCGTCGGCGAACTTGAGCCCGTAGATGCTCTTGCCGCCCGTGCCCTGTCGCCGCCATGCCGCAACACGGCGCGCACGCACACCCGAAAGCAAGGGAGGGGCACAGAGGGGTAGGGACACCCAAGGGCACACGAGATAAATGCGAGGTGAGAGAATGCACGGGTGTGAGGGAGAGAGGTGAAGAAGTGCGAGAGGACGGGGGGACGGCGTACGGAGCAGGCAATCGGAACGGGGAGAGGGAGGAAACGGCAGCGCCAAGTAGAAAAGCGGGATGGAGACAGCGCACGGCGATGGGAAAGGCAAGGCGAGGCGACGCGAGGCGAGGCGAGGCGAGGCGAGGCGAGGGGAGGCGGGTTGAGACGCGAATCGCGGTGAGGCGAGGCGGGTTGAGGCGATTTACATACATTGCCGGCGGTGAAGTCGCCGCCCTGGATCATGAAGTCGCGGATCACGCGGTGGAACGCCGACCCCTTGAACCCGAAGCCCTTCTCGCCTGCCCGCAGGAGGAAATGAGAGGAAGAACCCCCCGGGAAGAGACATGATGAGGGAGCCAGCGGGAAACGTCAAAGACGGCACGAATCTAGCGCGGGAGAGATATTGACGGAGGGCGAACGGGTGGATGGGATTCACGCGACGGGATCTACCAACAACGGTATGGCACGGGGTAGCAAGCAGAGGAGGCGCGATGCGCACCGGTGCAGAGGGCGCGGAAGTTCTCGGCGGTCTTGGGCACGTTCTCTCCGAAGAGCCCCAGCACGATGCGACCAGCGGGCTTGCCGCCGATCTCCACGTCGAAATACACCTTGTTCGTCACCGTCGGCTCCGCCCCCGCCTGCTCGCGCGCATGCCGCGCAGGGGGAGGAGAGGGAGGCGCGCGGGGGGGAGTAATTCGGAGGGAAATACGGGGAAGGGGAAGGTGTAGAGGCGGGGGGAGGGGGAAAGAGGGCGGGGAGGGGGAGAAGAGGAAACGATGGCGGTTACACAATATTATGGCGAACTTGCGACATGGACGACACGTCGCGAACTGAAAGCAGGGCTGGTCAGCAAACGCGGAGCACAGCCAGCCCACCTGAGCGCGGGGCGCCGTGGAGAAGGACGAGACTTGACGGCGGGTGGTGGCGGGCGCCAGGGACGCCGCGGAGAGCGGCGACATGAGAGACGACGACGAAGCCGCGAGGGACGACGCCGAGGAACGAGCCGGCGCCATGAAGGACGCGGCGACTACGCGCGATCTCACGGTCGCAGCCATGGACACGCGCGACACGGCTTGCTGCTCGCGACACGACGGGAGAGAGGCACACAGATTGGGGAGAGGGTGATTGAGCGGGGGAACGCGGTGGCAGGGAAGGATGCGCGCGTGGTATGCGTGACCAGCTACAGGCGTAGACCACGGAAGCGAGTGCGATGGACGGGAGAGAGCCGGAAGGGATGAGATGTATGGGGAAAGGGCACGAGTCGGCAAGAAAATGAATCTCAGTTGCGATTTCGCTGAACAATGGTGAGGCATGATGCAATGACCAGCGCGAATTCATGAAATTGAATTAACTTGAGCGCATAGGATGCATGGACCAGATCTCGCTAGAACTCGAAAAGATGGCAATGAAGAGGCACTCACAACAGCATGGCCGGAGAGGAGGGACTTGGCGGCCGCCATGGTTGGGAGGTGATGCAAGGTTGAGGAAAGGTGGATAGGCGCGGGAATAGCAAGCACAGCAGAGCAGAACAGAGCAGAAATGAGTTTGTGGGGAGGGCGAGGCAGGGGTGGAGTGGGCGGAGTGTGCAGGGAAGAAACGGGAAGGGAAGACGGGCCAGTGATGACGTGGACCGATGGAGGGAAGAGATCAGTTGACACGTCAATATGGCTGTGATGGATGTGACCCTTGTGTGCACGACAGGCGACGCTGACTCGGCGCTAGCTGAAAAGCTAGGTGGCAAAATTGGCAAGATCGCCAATTGGGGAGTGTTTTGTAACACCTCTACAAAGTTTGGTTTTAAAGCATCCGTTAAGTGAGACCTTGATTATGCTAAGCCTTCAGAACACTCAATTCCACAACTAATCTCTACATCAATTTTCCATCATCCTGCATGCAATACAAACCAGAACAATGTTCACTGGCTGCGAACATTCCTTTCTAACTACTGTACTCCACAAACACCACTAAGACATCACATCCTTCCAGATTGCCTGTGTAACAATCCAGTATCGGGCAACTATTTCGGCATTCTTCAAGCTGCAGGCTCTGGAGTAGATTGCTTGTAATAGATGAGCTTGCTCAGGTCGAATCCTTGGTCAGCAGCCATCTGTGGGTGGAACATGGAGGGCATGTGAAAGGATGTCAATGAATGCTGTCCTTGTAACAGGATATGCCATTGCGAGCACCAAGGAATGGATGGCACACCAGTGGCTCCTTACCTGCAGCAGCTTATCAACAACCTCCTTAGGCAACTCCGGAGTTCTGCTGTGTATCTGCACACAGGACATAACAGGAGCCACCCCATGTGTATACATATTAGGATGGAATAACCGACAGGCACGGTACAACTGAGTCCAGTGAGGGAGAGCAGAGAGGCACGGATGGCAACAAATAGGGCAATGGGCCACTACCAGGTTCAACGTACAATGTGCCTCACTGACAATTTAGTGCCACGTCCTCTAGCTGCTGTCGTACATCTTCTCACTCGCTTTTGCCCATGATTCTCCTTCACTCGCTCATGCACCTTACACGTACCCAGAGCGCCTGCTTAGCGGGCTGGCCGTGCAGCATGTACTGGGGGTTCTCGCCTTCCTCCGTCGCCATCACCCAGATGTCCGTGTGCACAGGAATGATGGGCGCAAACGGCGGCACCCATAACGTCTGCCCAAACCGCGCCTCGTCGCCTGCATCTTTCGCCTTCGCCAGCTTACCCTGAAGCAGGGACGAGGAGGCGACGGGGGTGTAAAGGGAAGAGGTGCCACGGGTAGGGAAGAGATGTCGAGGGTAGAGTGGAGAAAACCGGCCGAAAGAGTAGGAAGTTCGTGCTTACCCTCTCTTCTTCTCCTCTTTCCTTGGTCCCTCTCTGACTCTCATTCCTCATGGTCGCACCTCCACTTTCCCGTGTTTGCCGCTGGCCATGATGGCTTCGTTGACCACCTTGAGGCTCGCCCCGTCCTTGTTCACCGTATACGTTGTCGTGTTGCCGCTGCTGTCCGTCGGCTGCCCCTTGGGCGGGATGCTGGCTATGGTGTACCACTTCCCCGCCATCACCGCTATGTCCAGCCCCTTCACCGCCTGCACCGACTTACTGTCCGCAGCCATCGGCACGACCACTAAAAGAAACTTGCGCACTAGGAGACACAAGAGAAGGAGGGCGGGCAAAGTGCGGGAGACACTACAAGAATGCGCGAGACTAGTGTTCGGTTATGTCACTATGGAAAAAGAACGATGAACCTAGGTAACTACAAGGAATCAGTGATTCACTCCCGTGGATCTTGGTGGGTCACAGATGGATCCAAGCTAAGATACATGGCAGCACCCTCTTTATATGTATCCAGATTCAAACCACCTTTGCAAGGTCTAGTCGATGGATGTGACAATCCGAAGAACGGGGGGAAACCTGCATGTGAGAAAGCGAGGGTGGACTTCTGCCCAAATGATCTCAATAGTGAAATTTGATTACCTTCCACAAATACTGTACCCAGATTTGAGTTGTTCGATGATCGCATATAAATGGGAATGTAATCGAAACTGTAGAACTCAATCCAGCCACGACACAACCCAAAGAGCGGTGGTGATCATCCCACTCCCGTCCATATCATATCCGTCGTCACACTCGCCCAGCCCTGTATCCAATTATCCTGAAATCTTGGGATTCGGCAAACTCGTGAGAGTCCGAGTGCGTATGTGTGTGGAGGGCGACTGGATGTTACCTAGGTAACGTCGGGCAGTCATCCCAAGGTGTCGTCATCAAGTCTGCGATCTTCGCCACGGTGCAAGGAAGTCGCAGCAACTTTTGCGAGGCTTGCGATGGTCGTGGATTCTCCTCACCCCATCCCGAGTCAGGGTATCCAAGACCAATCTCCTCCAATCTCGTGCCTGGACTGGTCTGAAAGCAAGACTCCATCCATCCTGCCGCTTCTGCTGCTCCGTGCTCTCTTGGATCATGGCTTCCCGGTCGAGCCTTAAGACTACTGTCAGACTCGCGAGACCGATCCTTCACCGTAGCTTCTTGCCAGCCTTCTATGCGGCTCTCTTGCTCTGACATTGACATCGCACGCCGGAGTTTGTGTCAGGCCGAGCGAGGCGAGTGGCAAGGTCTGTGCTGCGGGATCCCAGTGGCTCTGTGTGAAGCACGTGCGTCAATCTCGCACCTTGCTCGTCGATCTTAAGTGGCCGCCGAGAGTAGTGGCGAAGAGCTCAGTCTCTTCATCTATCTGCGTGCAGGACAGGATTTTTGTCTGCACTCATCGCAATCCCCGCTGCATCCCACTGTTCTTCCGAGACCACCTTTCTTAATGTGCGTCAGATTGCGGTAGCCATTATAATCAGGAGTCTTTCTTTCTTCCCAGCGTAGTCAACACTCCGCAACCCATCGTTCCTTCCGCCATCTTCATTGATGCTGACAGGCACCACCGCGTCGTTCTAGCATTGTCCCCCGTTCCTTCCGCTTGCGGCGATCCAGTTTCGTGTACTCGCCGTTCTTCCCGTCAGCTAGTCGACTGCTTCTCCGTCTCCTCTCCTCGCCCCTTGCCTCGCTGGCAAGTGTCTTGCCAACCGACCATACCGTAACGCGATCACCGCGCTGCCACTCGTCACGTCTCACCAATCCCTCAACCTCGTGCACACGTGTCCGCCTGTGACTCGCTGACGTCAGCCTTGGGAGGTAGTCGCAGCCGTCGACTAGAGCGAGAGGGGGCAGCAGAACCTTGACAGCACGGGCAGCATCGGCCGGCCCTATGTAGGGCGCGCGCGCCATCCTTTCGCCACGACATTGGAAGCCGTTACCGGCTCGCGACGGTTTCGCTAGCAGCGATCATCACGTTGGGGCGGGGGCTGTAGCGACGGCGCTGTGCCAGCGCGAGGGTGTGGGTGCAGGGCGCGAGTGGCGGCGCCATGGGCAGTCGCGAGGGGTACGGCAGCGGCGGCGAGCTTCCGTTCATGTCCTCCCGCGCCCGCTCGCAGCGCCGCGATCTCGATTCGTGCTCCTTCCTCGAACCTGGGTGGGTTGCGGGGTGCGGGCGGCTAGCAGACAGCGACGGCCTTGGCAAGCCAAGATATCGTGGACATTGATGTAGGAAACGCATTCACCTTTGCGGTTCATTGCCCCGTGTACTCATGGCAAGAGGTTCCCATTGTTCGTGCGTGTTTGTCGACTGGTACTGAGCAGGAACGAGTTCTCTCGCCGTCCGTCACTGCTGAATGACAACCTGGAAAGCGGCCGCCCCAGGTGAGCCCTGAGACGATACGGAAATGCAAAGCACGCAGTGGGGGGTCGGACATTGGTAGGCCTTGATCGTGACGACTTGTCTCTTCTCACTCACTCACACCGTGCATGGCCCGCTGGCTGCCACTGCTGCCCCTCCATGTGTGTGTGTGAGTGCAGCCATGAGTTTGCTCGACGGCCGTCGCTTCTCAGTGATAACATGGACCCCTTCCGATCCAGGTACGCTCTCCCCCGCCTTCTACTGCTGCTGCTGCTGCTGCTGCTGCTGCACCATTCCCACCTGATTTGATCTTCGCCTCTTCTCGCACCCTGCCTCTCCATCACGACTCGCCCCATGTGTCCTCCACTGCTGCACAGTGCATACTCCAAATCTGTCTGCAATGTTCCTTTGTGTGTCCCTCTACCATTCCCCCTCGCCCCTCGCCCCTTCCTCCTCGCCCTTCGCCCCTTCCTCTTCGCCCCTTCCCCGGCACCCTCGCCTCTCGCCTCTCGCCCTTCGCCCCATCCCCCGTTCCCTGCGTGCCCCCCCCCTGGCAGTGCGCGAGGGGGTCCGTCCTTGTCGTCACTGACGGGGTCGTCACTGGACCCAGTGGACGCGGCTCTCTCACAGCCCGCCCTCTCAGCGCACCCCATGCGTGCACCCACGCCCCTCGATGCCGCCGCCGCTGGCGTCTCAGGCACAGGCGTTGCCGCCGCCACGCGCTCGTGAGCCCTGCTCGCAACCCTCCGTTCCTCGCACCCTGCCTTCCCTCCGCCACTCTTTCGTTTTCTCGTCCTGTTCTCACCCTCCTCTCGCCCTATTCTCCCCGCCCGACCATGCATTCCTGTCCCTCACGACCGCTCGTGTCCCCGGTGTGTGTCCTGTGCCCCCGTGTGCGTGCCCTTGCAGTGTGGAGCGTTACATGTCGTACCTCTCTGGAGCCTCCTCCCGCCGCCCTGCCGCCTATGCGCCACCCTCGGCCCTCGCCATTCCGTCTGTTGCCGCACCCTCTGGAAACGCGCTCAGGTGAGCCACACACGCAGCGGAAAGGGGAGAGGCTAGGGGTGTTGATCACTGCTGCATGGGCTGCGGTTGCAGCTGGAGAAGCTGAGGGGCTCGCACTCGCAGGCCTTGTAACTCTGTTGTGCTGCCTTTGACCTTGTTGGCGTGCAATTAACGCCAGCCTGCCAGGTAGCATCTCTCCTCTAACTTCCACCCTGGGTGATCCCTGCCTACGCCCCTTCTTCCACCCGTCCTTGTTCCTCTCTCCCAACCCTGCTTGACTGCTGATCGTAACTTCCCCTGGCTGGTGTGGCGTGGCGGCGTTGTGTCCCCTGGTGCTGGCAGTCCAACGAGTGAGCCCGAAGGCAACATGCGGCGCCACCGCAGCAGGCGCAGGGCCATGCAGGAGGACAGGCTGGGCCACCTCGCTGGCAGGTCCGTTGGGCAGAGATGGGGAGGGGGAAGCTGCTGGGGAAAGGGGCACAGGAAGAGGGTAAAGAGAGGGAAGCATGGAAGGGATGGGGGCGGGCAGGTAAGTAGAGGGGGGTAATGTTCGGCGTTAGAGTGTTATGTACCTTTGCTGGGTCCTCGGGTAGAGTGTGTGTCTGGGAGAGAGAGAATTTGCCATGTGAGTGCACTAGCCATACTTGCAGGGCCGATTCACAGAGAATAAAAAACCCTGCAAGGGGCGGCATCGTTATCACCAGTCTGTGAGCTGTGCTCCTGGGACCACATCTAATTCCTTTTGCAGGCCTTTCTCTCGCAGCCATCTAATCCTGCCCATCCTTCGCATTCGCAGCCCCTCACTCTCTCTTCCCTCATCCCACCTGTGCGTCACAGAACGCACATGCAGCACTCGCGGTCGGCCAACGCGTGTGAGCGCGGGTTCATGAGTGGCGGCGAGGGGGGTCCAGGGCGGTACGAGCGCATGTCCATGCTCAGCGGCGCTGTGAGCGAGTCCGAGGGCGCTGTTGCCATGACCACCCGCGCTGCCGCCTACCTCATGCGCCACACTCCCCCCTCCGGCAGCGTTGAAACCAGGTACAGTGCACCAACAACCTGCAGCACTTGTGACTGCCACTGTTGTGTTCCACTTGTGACCACTGCCAGTATGCCCTGGCAGGTTCTTCAGGATCCCGCCAGGCGTGAGAGTTCATTCCAGCCGCCTCATCTCATGCATTCAGCACATGTGGTTTCTCCCTTCTCAGCCCACCACGCCACCCCACGCTCACCATCCCCTCTCTCTCTCTGCTCTGTTCCCATGCGTGCCATGTGAGCGTGTGGCAGTCCTGAGGCAGCGCAGGCATACCGGTCACGGTCGGACAAGAGGATGGGGTCGGCAGCTGCAGCAGCCGTGGCAGCTGTGAGCTCGGGCTACGACTCGCCCACCCCGCCCTCCTCTGCTGCTACACTCGCTGCAGGGGCAGGGGGGATGGGTGCAATGGGGGGAATGCAGGCAGCGGCGATGGGAGGACCAGTGCCGCCAGGTGCAGGAAGGTGAGCTGTGTGGTTGGCTGTGCTGCTCGTCTGAGCCTCACATGCTCCCTGCTCGCACTACACTGCTCTCAAAATGCTGAGCTTACCCCATGCTGTGGTGCTGCGCTGTGGTTGCATGGCCAGCCAGGCATGTGTGGTGGCACGGCATATAGTGCACAGCGGCATGCATACAGCACATGATGTTCGCTCGCACCCGTAACACCACACCCTCGCTGGTGCTATGTGCATGTGTGTGCCATGGCATGGCAGGTCGGATGGCAGTATGTCGGACCACTTGTTCATGTCAGCGCGAACCAGGGCGTCCCTGGCGCCCATGAACAGACGCTCCTTCGACAACTCCTCCTCCCACAGGTACTGCGCCTTGCCCCTTCCCCTCTTCTCCTGCCCTTTCTCTTTCTCTCTCGCACCTTCGCTCATGCACTCTCTCCCCGACGGTGCGCATGTGGGCTCCTGTGTACGCTCTCTGCTGTGTGCAGTCAATACCGGCGCAACACTGTAGGGTCAGATGTTGAGGACTCCAGGCAACTCCCGCCCAGGTGTGTTGCACGCCCTGCTGTGCCGTGCTTTTCTGTGCTGTCCTGTGCTGTGCGGTGCCATGCCATTCCATACTATGCTATGTTGCAATGTAGTCACAACATCCCATTCCTCTCTGCATCCCGCACCACACCCGCACCTGCACCATGTCCCCTCCGCTCTCTTGAATCAGCTCAATATTGGGAGGGGATGCAGCAGCATCAAGTTCGTCCACAATGGGTGCGGGCGCCCCACCAGGAGGGCTGGCCCCCACGCCCCCTGTGGGCCCCTTTGAGCCGGCTCCCCCTCTGGTGCGCCGCCGCACCTACTCTGCTGCTGACGGCTCTGCAGAGGTCTCAGCGGCAGGCATGGAGCAGTACGTGTGGGGTGGGCTAACAGGGCGCTTGGGTATAGATCGGGATGCAAGGCATGCGTGCAGGGGGTGCAGGGAGTTTGTGGGAAGCTGCTGTCGAGCTATGTTTGGTTGCTCACTTGCTTCAACTTCCGTTGCCTTATCGACCTCCCTTATTGCCCCTGGTGTGGCATGGCATGGAATGGCAGGAATCGCACGTTCCTGCCCACACCGCCCCCGCGCAGAGGAGTGGGAGAACCATCTGCTCCGCGGTGAGACTGCTGCTCCCTGCTCTACCATCCTCACGCCCTACTGCTCGCTGCTCTGCTGTAGTGCCACCATGCACCATGCACCATGCACCATGCGCCATGCACCATGCACCATGCACCATGCACCATGCACCATGCACCATGCTCCATGCACCATGCACCATGCACCATGCACCATGCACCATGCACCATGCTCCATGCACCATGCACCATGCACCATGCACCATGCGCCATGCGCCATGCACCATGCGCCATGCACCATGCACCATGCACCATGAACCATGCACCATGCACCATGCTCCATGCACCATGCACCATGCACCATGCACCATGCACCATGCTCCATGCACCATGCACCATGCACCATGCACCATGCACCATGCACCATGCGCCATGCACCATGCACCATGCACCATGCACCATGCACCATGCACCATGCACCATGCGCCATGCACCATGCACCATGCACCATGCACCATGAACCATGCACCATGCACCATGCTCCATGCACCATGCACCATGCACCATGCACCATGCACCATGCACCATGCTCCATGCACCATGCACCATGCACCATGCACCATGCACCATGCACCATGCACCATGCGCCATGCGCCATGCACCATGCACCATGCACCATGCACCATGCACCATGCACCATGCACCATGCACCATGCACCATGCACCATGCACCATGCACCATGCTCCGTGCACTGTGCAGCACAATGCATCATGCACATTCTCACAAGTGTACCCATGAAACCTCGCCATTCCCTGCCTCCAGCCACCGCTCAGCTGCTCTCACGGCTTCTCCCATTATCCCATCCGCCGCTCCTCAGCATTCTGCTCTCCTTTTCCCGCCCTCCGTCTCTCTTCCACACTCTCGTCCCCACCCTCTCCTCCCCGCCCTCTCCACTCCCCCCTCTTCCCCCATCCGCCCTCTCTCCCCGCCCTCTCCCCCCGTGCCCATGCCCCTGCGTGGGTGCAAGCAGGGGGAGGCGGCGCACGACAGCACCGGAGGTCAGCGATGAGGTCGCCAAGTGAGTCATGCCTTGCCGCGCACACTGCACCCCCATGCCCTGCCATGCCATGCCATGCCACGCCACGCCATGCCATGCCTACCCTGCCATTGTCTCCTCAGGTGGGTCTGTGCTATGCTCTTTCCACAGTACCTGTGTCCCTTCCACAGTACCCCTGTCCATTCGCTCCTCCTAACGCACCTCACTTCTCCGCTTGCATGCATGGTTGGGTGCTTCCAGGAAGGTGCGGGAGTACAACGAGGCGATTCGCAGGGACAGGAGGGCGTTGAGAGTGGAGACAGCAACAGCAGCAGCGGGGGAGCAGCAGCTCACGGCGGATGGCAGCGACCTCTCCACTGCTCCCTCGCCGCTCCCCCCCACCTCCTCCACCTCCGTCTCTGCTGCACCGTTCTCCTCTGTCCTGGTCAGTACCTGTCTCTGCCACCTTCCACTGCCTCTGTCTCTGCCACCTTCCACTGCCTCTGTCTCTGCCACCTTCCACTGCCTCTGTCTCTGCCACCTTCCACTGCCTCTGTCTCTGCCACCTTCCACTGCCTCTGTCTCTGCCACCTTCCACTGCCTCTGTCTCTGCCACCTTCCACTGCCTCTGTCTCTGCCACCTTCCACTGCCTCTGTCTCTGCCACCTTCCACTGCCTCTGTCTCTGCCACCTTCCACTGCCTCTGTCTCTGCCACCTTCCACTGCCTCTGTCTCTGCCACCTTCCACTGCCTCTGTCTCTGCCACCTTCCACTGCCTCTGTCTCTGCCACCTTCCACTGCCTCTGTCTCTGCCACCTTCCACTGCCTCTGTCTCTGCCACCTTCCACTGCCTCTGTCTCTGCCACCTTCCACTGCCTCTGTCTCTGCCACCTTCCACTGCCTCTGTCTCTGCCACCTTCCACTGCCTCTGTCTCTGCCACCTTCCACTGCCTCTTTCTCTGCCTCTTTCTCTGCCTCTCCCCTGCGTCCTGCCCGTCCTCCTGCTATGCCCATGCGACCTATCAGCGTGTCTCCACAGCATCTCGCTGCACCACCTCCTGCATCCTCGTCTCACCACATCCCGTCCAATATCCCCTTTTCCATGTATTCTTTTCCATGTCCTCATCCACTCTTATTGAACTCTGTTCCTCCCACCTCGGCCTCCTCTCCCTTCCTTCCCACGTGCCATGCCCCTCCCCTGCGCCCTGCCCAGCGTGTGTGTCCCACATGCCACCAGCACTGGCCGCTCACCACAGCACAGCTCTCCCCTGCCGTCCCCGCCACTGCTGCCACCACCCCCTCCACCGCCACCACCCCCGCTGCCACCTCCGGCCCCACCGCTCCACCTGCTGCCGCTGCTGCTCCCTCACTCTCTCGTGACTCCAGTGGTGGGGGGCCGGGGCAGCTGGGAGGAGAAGAGCAGCGTGCAGGGGAGGGTGGGGGAGAGGAAGCAAGGGGGGTGAGGGCGGACGAGGGGGACGCTGGGGGTACAGGCGAGGGCGCTAGGGCTGGCGGGGAGGGTGGTGGGGAGGGCGGAAACATGGGGGAGGGTCAAGGAAGAGAAGAGGCAGGGAGAGTGGATGGGGAGGAAAGGAGGTGCAGAGGGGAGGGAAAAGAGGGTGGTGTGGAAGATGGAAGTGGTGTGGAAAACGGTGGAGAAGGGAAAGGTGGGAAGGAAGTAGGTCGAGAGGAGAGATGTGGGGAGGAAAGAAGTGGGGAGGAGAAGGCTGAAGAGGGGAGAGGGGGAGAGGAGGGAGCAACAGCGCAACAAGGTCTGGATGGAGAAGGCTCTCAGAAGCAAGGAGCAGTGGGGAAGGAGGTAGGAGATGGGGAGCAGTCGGGGACAGCAACAGAAGCACAAGGTGCGGGTGCGGGCGAGAGCAGTGGGAGTGTGCAGCGGCAGCGGGCGGGCATGAGCCATCGGTCGCAACCATCCCTTGGCAATGCCAGTGGCAGCTCAGGCTACGTCAGCCCTCTACAGTCCGCCTCCCCTCGCCCACAGCACCCCGCCTCGCCACCGCCACCCGCCTCCTCCCACCCGGCCTCTTTGCGGCGCCCCACGCCCCCCGGTGCTTCAGCGCCGGGCAGTGGAGCACTGTCATCTGCACCGGGCAGCCAGCGCCAGGCCGCGCCCGCTGCTGCTGCACTGCCTGCTGCCCCCGCGGCACTGGTGCCAGCGCCACCCGTGGCAGTGCAGGCTGTGCTGGGCAGCGAGCAGTGGACCATTGACTTTAATGAGCTGCGCCTGGGCATCCGAGTGGGCATTGGTGCGTGCTTTGCTTCCGTGCTCCTCTGCTCTGCTCGCTCTGTGCGTCCATGCCATCCGTGCTCATGCTTCCACGTGACTCTTCATTCTCCACTTAAACGCGCCCTCTCTTCGTTGTATACTTCTCTCGTTACCCCTCCCCCCCTTCCTGGTGCTGGTTGCAGGGTCGTTTGGGGAGGTTTTCAGGGCGGTGTGGAGGGGAACGGAGGTGGCGGTGAAGCGGCTGTTGGTGCAGGACGACCCATCACCGGAGGAGTACGAGGACTTCTACAACGAGGTCTCGTTGCTCAGGTCACCACTCGCTCCCTGCTGCCTCCTCACTGCCGCATCCGCGTTCCCACTGCCATTCCATCTTACCAGTTGTTTCTTGCGTTGCTGTCATCGCCATGCGCTGCCATCCATGCGGCCATGCAAGCACACCTTTCCCATGGCTCAAGTAACCCCACATGCTTTGTGCTTGCTGTACAGCGCACTCTCTATTCACCTAACTCATACATTACGAGTGCATTGCGTCTCTGTGTGTGCGTGCGTGTGCTTGTCTGGTGTGTGGCTGGTGTGTGGCTGGTGTGTGGCTGGTGTGTGGCTGGTGCGTATCATGTGGGTGTGTGTGCATGTATCTCGCTGCACGCTGCTTCACAACAGTCGTCTGCGCCACCCCAATGGTACTTCTCCTTCCCCTCCTCGCACATATCCACCTGTCTCGCTTCATGCGCCTCTCTCCTCTGTAACCCCCCCTCCCCTTTTCTTCCCTTGCCCCGTCCCCCCTTCCCTCGTGTCGTGCATTCATCCTGCTGGTTGCACCGTGCTCCTCTCATAGCCCTCACAAACACACATCTCCTCCTCTTCAGCCACCCAATTCATTCCGTTCCATTTCTTCCATTCCAACTCCCCCTTCCTCCCTTTTATACTCCCCCCAAATCCCGCCCCCTTGCTCCTCACATAATTCCCTCCTGATCCCACCGTCAACGTCCCTCCTCCCCACCCAACCTTCCCTCCGGTGTGGCAGTGCTGCTATTTATGGGGGCGTGTGTGCAGGCGCCGCAGGTGTGCATGGTGACGGAGTACATGCACATGGGGTCGCTCTACCGCATCATCCACTCCCGCGAACCAGGCCAGGGCGGCGAGTCGCTCAGCTGGAAGCGCCGCTACAAGATGCTCCGGGATATCTGCAGGTGGGGGAGGGGAGAGGGGTGGGAAGGAGTGAAATTGCGTGGGATGGGATGGTACGCTGTGTGTGTTGTTGAGGCTGTTTTGAGCATCTTCCATGGTGATATGGGTAGTTGGACATAGCTCAAGCCTCTGCATAGTTCCCCCCCTGCCAGCCCCTGTTATCAATCCTCAGCGTCTGCTACCATCTGTTCCCCTCCACCTCTTCCTCTCACTCGTTTCTCTCTCCATCTCTTTTCCGCCACCAGGGGCATGCTGTGTGTGCAGCGCATGAGCATAGTGCACCGGGACCTCAAGTCCGCCAACTGCCTCGTGGACAAGCACTGGTGCGTCAAGATCTGTGACTTCGGCCTCTCGCGCCTGGCGCCCGACGGCCTCGTGCTGGGGCGCACGGCAGCGGGCACGCCCGAGTGGATGGCGCCGGAGCTTCTGCGCAACGAGCCGTGCTCCTTCAAGTGCGACGTGTTCAGCATGGGCGTCATCATGTGGGAGCTCGTCACTCTGCGCCGCCCCTGGGAGGACGTCAAGAACCCACTCGAGGTGTGTGTGGGGGGAGGAGGGGAGGGTGGGGGGTTGGGAGGGGGATAGGGGGGGATGGGGAGGGACTGGAGAGGGATCGGGTGGGTGGGGAGGGAAAGGAAAGAAGGGTGGGCAAAAGGGGAGAATGGAGGCTTTAACATCCTTGTTTGAATGAGAGAGTGCCTGCTTCTCAATGGTGTTGGCATGTCTGTGCCTGTGTGCTCACGTGCCCGCATGTGTGCATGTGTGGCAGGTGGCATACGCGGTAGCGCATCGGAATGCGCGCCTGCCTGTGCCGGATGGCATGCTAGGGCAGCTCATAGCAGGTACGCCACTGACGCCCACACCACCTCAGTCCTAAAAGTTTATTTTTTTTCTATGTATTTATTTTACCATCCTCTAACTTTTCCTCCACAACACCCTTTCCTCCTCCTGCAGGCATCACGCCCAAGCACACACCCGCACATGCTCCTCCCATTTCTAGAGTTCTCAAAAGTGATTTCACAGCAACTCTCTTTGTGTGACTTCCGCTTTGCACTGTGAAGCTTATCCGTCGGCCCTGTCTCCTACCGGTACCATTCTCCCCCTCCCCCACTCTCCCCCCTCCCCCCCTCTCCTCCCTCTTTCCGCCTTCCACCCCCCACCCCCCCGGGCTGTGGCAGACTGCTGGGAGGACGATCCAGAGAGGCGGCCCAATTTTGAGCAGATTCTGGAGAGATTGCACGAGTGCGAGTACCTTGATGTGTGATGGACACTAACCACGGGCTGTGCCCTGCCCTGCCCTGCCCTGCCCTGCACGCCTCTTCATGCTGCATGTGCCGTCATGCACATGGGTCCTGGTTGCTGCAAGCCTTTCTGTTTTGACTCCGCTGCACTGGTGAACGTGCTTGGTGCGTGTGCAGTGCTACTTTGCCGTGCAAGCCACACCTTGCTTCATAGCTCCAACAGCACTACCTACCACTCCCAAGTTCATTGCTGTCTCCTGCCATCACAAGACCCTCTGGACCCGTGGGCTTGTCTTGCCTGTTACAACCACTGCCTAGGACCTCTCAAGATGTGCTGCACAGTGGCACAAACAAAATAAACAGCTCTTTCTACATAAGGTTTTGAAACTCCAGGCATCAGATAAAATACTCATCTAATGCGTGTCAGCACTGGGTCATGTTATAGCAAGCCATTAGTGGCAGTAGAAAGACCAGCCAGCCATAGCAACAGAACCACCAAATGGAACCACCTACAGAGCTGCTGCCAGTCCCAAGATTCTACTTACGGGCCCTCAGGCCCTGTGCTGTGTATGCCCTCCCTGCCTCCTCCCCGCAACCCCTCTCCCCCATCCAAGCACCACACCTACCGGTACCCATCCCTTGTTGGGCTGAGAAAAGCCCTTTCGATCGTTTTCAAGACTAAAGTCTCAGATTAGTGATGTATTAGCGGAAACGCAATAGTGAACTAATTGAACCACCTTGCACTGGTATGTGAGAACAAGAAAAGTTGATAATAGCAAAGAGATACAAAGCTTTATATGATTACACAGGAATATGAAAGGTTTCACTAACTGTAACTGCTGTTGCGGTTCGATACAGCGACGACTCGGGTAAGTGAGTCAGTTATGTGTCCTTGCTGTCGCGCTGCTTTTCGGCGAGTCAAGTTCGCTGACCTTTGACCTTCACTCTGTTGGGCTGAAAAAGACCTTTAGGATCTTTGCAGGACTAAATTCAGAGTAGGACAATGTAATAGCGGAAGCGTTAAATAAAAGACTTGTGAACCACCTTGCGCTAGTATGTGAGGGCAAAGTAGACTGATTAATAGCAAAGAGATACAAGCTTTTGTCAGAATCCCAACCACTAGACCATTGGGATAAAAGGGCTTATTAACTAGCGGGTCAGTGCGCCCATAACCCCCCAGGACAACGAGCCTGTAACCCTTCCCTAGGATCAATCGGGGATCACCAGTGGACCTCTGACACCCCCCCACACTGGGATGCCCGAAGTGCACACACTGGGATTCGGACCCGAGACCTTCGCTCTGATAGCATGTCAGAATCCCAACCACTAGACCATTGGGATAAAAGGGCTTATTAACTAGCGGGTCAGTGCGCCCATAACCCCCCAGGACAACGAGCCTGTAACCCTTCCCTAGGATCAATCGGGGATCACCAGTGGACCTCTGACAGCTTTGATAAGAATACGAGGGAATATGAAGGGTTATAACTAATAACCGTTTTACCATTGCTGTTGCGGTTCGATACAGTGACGACTCGGGCAACTGCTCAATAGCGAGTCAATTGTTTGTCCTTGCTGTCGCGCTGTACTTGTCGGGTCAAAGGTCGCTGACCTTTGACTTTCGCATAACCTCCAGCAGTTGTTCAACCTTCGAGGGTTGACTCGCTGATGCTTCGATATGTTCTGCTTCGCTTCTGACTTGGTGTTTCGACACGACAGAGGCGCTTAAATCAATTGTTTCCAACACACTCAACCTCTTGTTGTCTTTCTGTCAACCGCTTTGGTTGACTCGCTGGTGCTTCGCTTCAGTTCGCTTCGCTTTTGTTGTAGTGCTCGACACATCAGAAGCATGAACTATATGTTTCCAACATCCCTAAGCTACACAAGCTCTAGGCCCAGGTTCCTAGAAAGAAGGGATTCTGGCCTTGGACTATGCCCAGCCAGACAGGCCAAGACGGAATGATGAGTGCACCTACGAGCTGATGGCTTCCCTCCGCTTCTTAGCGGGGGGCATGGACAGCAGCGTAACATTTGGCCCATACAGCCACTGCCCTAGCACGGATGCCACAAACGCCCCGTTCAAATCCACGCCCTCTGCTATCCCCACCACCGTCACCCCCTGCCCCACACTCCCTGCTGCTGCTGCTGCCGCCGCTGCAGCTGCTGCGTCTGGAGTGGAGTCGGGCGGTGGGAGCGGCGGAGAGACGTGCCAGTGCGGGCGCGGCGAGGGGCTGGGCGATGATGCGATGAGGTACAGGGACGTGTCCGGTACCAGGGATGCCAGCTGCAGGGAGGGGCGCGGTTGGGGGGGTGGGGGACAGGCGGTGAGGCGAGGTGCACTTCGAAATGGTCAATGGGAAAGGGAGGGGTGCATGCATGACTTAGCAACGGCATGCAAGGGGAGGGGAAACAAACAAATAGCAATTCAGAATGGAAAGGGGGTTGGGTGGGTGGGTGGGTGGAGGCGCGAACGGAAGGGGAGAAGGGAATATGAAGGAGAGCAGGCAGGGCAGTGTGATTACAATGTCGGCTGCTGATGATGCAGCGTCGCAGGGCAGCAAGGCGAGCAGCGAGGAGAGGCGCGGCGACGGCTGAAGCGGGTCCTGGTGTGATGGGCCATGTTGAATGTGGTGCATGAGGAGGGAGAGGGGAGAAAAGGGGGGAGAATCGGGTGGGGTGAGGAACAGGTGCAGAGAGGATGGGCACGGATGGATGAGAGTTGAGAGGGGGGGATGGAGCAGGAGGGCGTGGAGGGATGGTTGGGCATGCTGACTCAACTGTATGCTGACAGTGGGTGTCAAGTGCACAGTGGCGATACACAGCACTTCATGTGCGTACCTGCTCCATGGCCTCTGTCAATCTGCCCACTGCCACTGCAAGCGCCGACGCCACCGCCTCCGTCCCACCTGCGCCGGTCCCCTTGCCCTCCCCTTGCCCCTCTCCCTCCCCAATGACGGCACTCGCCATGCGCATCCCTGGGGGCAGCGACATGAGCAGCACCCCCACCGAGTACTGCTCCTCCCCGCCCTCCCCCGCGCCCTCCGCGCCCCCCACCGCCACGCCATCCACAGCTCCCCCTGCCGCTGCCCCCCCTCCCTCCGCCCACACGCACGCGCCTATGACCTCACTCCCCACCACCAGCTGCGGCACTGCTGCCAGCGCCACCCGCGCCAACCCCCGCCCGTCCGCCCCCCCTACCCCCTGCGCGCACAACGACCCCGCCTTCCCCGCTTTCGGCCGCTGGCGGAAGGGCAGCAGGCGCAGGAGACTGGGGTTCGCGCGGGGCGCGCGGAGCAGCGAGACGGCAGCGAGGACGGGCCCGGACGCGAGGAACGAGTCTGCTGCAGCGCGGCACGCGGCGTCTATGGCGGGCAGCAGCGCCGCTGACGTGGCGACGCCCTGCGACGCGAGCAAGCCGCCAAGCGAGGGGGAGGAGGGGGAGAGCGAGGAGAGCGCGAGGATGGTGCGCATGTCCGCGTGGGTCGGCGCGGACCACCCAGGCGGCACCACCCACGTGGGCGTCGTGGCGGAATCGCGCAGGGGCGACAGCGACGAGCCTGCTGCAGCGCCGTCCGTGCCGCGGCCCCGCGTTACCTGCGCCCACGCACTCGCGATCGGCTCTGGCAGTCGCGACGGCAGCGCTTGCAGGCTAGAAACGAGCCCTCCCGCGCCAGAGGCGGAGAGCAGCGGCGCGTTGAGGCGCATGATAGCAGCTGCTGCAAGAGACGACGCGACGACCAGCGCAATGGACAGCGATACTGACACCCCCGCAGGCGCCTGCGACAGAATCGCGCCCCCGCCCGCCGCCGCTGCGCCTCTCCCGCCCGCGCCCTGCCAGCCGAGCCAGTGCCCCACGCCCCCGATGGACGCCACCTGCTGCGCCTTCTTCTCCGGGATGATCAGGATCTGCCCCACCTGCAGCCCCCCGCCCTCCTCGCCCTCGCGCACGCCGTTGCGCTCCGCCAGCTCCTGCCACGCCACGCCGTACCGCTCCGCGATGTCCGCCAGGCTGTCCCCCGGCATCACCATCCCCACGCGCGCGGCCGCCAGATGCGCCCCCGCTGCCCCGCCCGCGGCGGAACCTTGCTGCCCCCCGCTGGGCCCCCCAGCCGCTGCTGGCCCGCCTCCGCCGCCCTTGTCCGCCCCGCCCGCAGCCACCACGAGCGCGCCCCCCATGGCCTCCACGTCCGCGGGATCCAGCGGGAGCGCCGCGCCCGTTGCGCGCCTGCGCCCCGCGGGAACGCGGATCTCGTCCGCAGGCTTCACTTTAGCGAGATCGACGCCCGGGTTCATGTCCTGTAGCTGCTCCACTGTAAGCCCGTAGTCCGCTGCTAACGAGGATATCCA